CTGCTTCTGGGCAGTTGTAGAACCTGCTTCTAGTGAGTTGTAGAACTTGCTTCTAGTGAGTTGTAGAACTTGCTTCTAGTGAGTTGTAGAACTTGCTTCTAGTGAGTTGTAGATCCTGCTTCTAGTGAGTTGTAGAACTTGCTTCTAGTTAGTTCGATAGTGAATTTGTAACTATCTACTAGCTAAGAAATATAGAAAAATATTTTTTTGTTAATTAAACTATGTATAATAGCTGGGTTTAAAAAAAAAAAAATTTGCTTGCCTTCCTACACCCCCACCACTCGCCTGTGTGATTATTCACCCCCTCATATCCTTTGATATTGTGATTATACCCTGACACCCCACACTTGTGAGTTTACACACTGCCCCCCCCCTACCAATTTATCTAAGTGACAACAATGTGCATCCCCCCTCACACCCCCACACACACCCATCTCCATGATTCTGTTTAACCCTTTACATCTTTTACCTACCATTGTGTTGGTTGTGTACAAACACTCCCAACCCTCAGTATCCTTACTAACAGAGGCGTAGCGAGGGGGGGGGGGGGGGGGGTGGCGGGGGGTGCGGACCGCACCGGGTAACATCATTTAGGGGGGTGACACCAAGGCAAAAAATAGCAAAATATATAGAGAAAAACTTGAGGGGGTGCAAATCGAAAGTTTGAGGGGGGGGGGGGAGCAAATCAAAAGTTTGAGGGGGGACTGCAAATCGAAAGTTTGAGGGGGGGGGGTGCAACTCCAAAGTTAGAAGGGGGGGGTGCAAATCGAAAGTTTGAAGGGGGGTTCAAATCGTAAACTGGTCAGCGACCCTCTTGGGGGTGTCACCATTGAGTGCCTTACCGGGTGACACCCGACCTCGCTACGCCACTGACTACTAACAATACCCTCCCCCTCAGTATCAGTCCTAACACCCCCACCCCCAAAGTCCCTCCCCTTCTTATAACTACTAATACTCCCACCCCTCAATATGACTGCTAACACCCCCACCTCTTTCTGTCCAAGAGCCACCCCCTCCCCCATACGAGTTCCGTCAGTGTGCCAACACCGTGTAGTTTACAACCCAAATGCCGTTTATTTTAACACGTTGTAAATTAGATCTACCCCCTCTTCTCCCACCCCCCACCCCCTCCCCCACACACAAGCCCAATATCCGGCCACTTCAGAGTTTTGGCCTATGAATAGATCTTATTTCCGGTGCGCGATCTGGTAATTGCCTTTACGGTATTTTCTGAAAAAAAAAAATTTTCTTTTTTTTTTCGGTAGGGACAGTTTTAACTGAAAGTGATAAAATATGTTATGGTTTAAGATTGGTGTCAAGTTGATAAGAGGATACAATATTTGAAGGGGGAAAAAGTGACTTTGTCAAATGGAGAAAAATTCCTGTTTATACGAAATTATGTTGATGTATTTATTGGTGATTAATTACGCCTGGGTTTTTTTAGAAAGGGGAGTTTGGCGGCCAATGAATAGAGGAGGAGAGGGGGGGGGAAGTTGGGGGTAAGCGGAAAGAAAGATTTAACTTAAATAATTTTATTTCGAAAAATGTGTTTTATGCTAGGCCTATACATAATCTACCCCACTCCCAGCCCAAAGGCGTCGCGACCCACTCCTGCGCCGGGGCAAATTATCAATTTAACATCCGTCTCTCCCCCCCCCCCCCCCCCCCCCCGTTGCCCCCCCCCCCCCCACCCCGTAATTTACAAATAGATATTCACGTTGATGAAAAAGCTCCCCTTCTCCTTTAATTTGGAAAGGTCGGGGCACTTTTTAGCAGCCACTTTCCCATTTTATTATGGTGCAACACAATATGATGTAGAAAAACAGTTAAATAAGTCAGTACATCCCAGTAGCAGTCTATTTAATTTCGACTGCGAATAATTAAGTAATGCAGCTTAGCTTTGAGCTTATATATATATATATATATATATATATATATATATATATATATATATATATATATATATATATATATATATATATATATATATATATATATACCGTGTTTGGTGCCCACCTATGAATAAAAATAGAATAAAATATATAAATTGGGCACTGCCTTTCTACTCCTCCCCCTACCCGCCCCACCCCACCCGTTTCGCGGTGGAGAATGAAAAGTGGTATGTAATTAGGAGAGACAGCTTCAAAATCAAAGAACTTCTAACTTGTAGTTTGTTAGACAAAGGCTATGGAAGCAAATCCAGAAGGAAAAGCAGGCTGAAATCGGAGTCAACGGCGTATAAATGCCCATTACATGCTGACACAATACTTTATTGAAGAAAAAAAAAGAAAATCCAGGTCAACTCTACTTCACCTGCTCCATATACTTTTAGATCTTAAACCTCAAATTCCCTTCCACGTTTATTAATAATGTAATGAACATTTTTTTTTACCTCCCACGGCGTCAGCTATTTCACACACGTTTAATCTCACACTATGTTGCCTATGCAATTTTTTCTTTTTATCAATAACCTAAAAAGCAAACACGTAACACAAAACCCATTGGAAATGAACGCGTTTCCCCTTGCTATTGAAAGCGCTGACAGCTCCCATGTTCTGGATCTTTCTATGCCTGTTTAACCTGTTCAGGTAATCCAGTTAAACCTGTACTGGAATGGCAGGTTGAGGTAGGATGGGGGGGGGGGGAGGGGGTGGGGCACTAATGACTAGTTTAATGAAATTTTGATAATTGTGGGGTAAAAGTTATTAAACGAACGAGACAGCGAAAACAAGTTTTAGCAGTGGGATTATTTAAATTCTAAAAATAGAATTCAGATGGCTGAAGATCAGTGTTTCTTCCAGACATTTTTCTTCGGGTGGGGGGGGGGGGGGGGTTACTTGACATTTTCGACATTTCCGAAGGGGGGGGGGCGGTCTACATTTCCCGAGGGGGGGGGGGGGGCGACACTAGTAAAAGTATATGTTTACTATATAAATTCCATCTCGTTCGAAGAAATGCCTGGGAGAAACTCTGCAGAAGATACATTATTTTTCCTTAGTTTAAAAGTGGTAGTGGTATGGTGGGTTAAGCGTGGGGGGGGGGGGGGGGTAGAAGATGGGTGTAGGATGGACCGCCTGCGTCAAAACGGCCTAAGACAAAAACGACCCCGGACGAACCGCCAACGTGTCTTACCCCCACCCCCTTCACCAACGATGTACTAAATTTATAGGCAAGACACAAAAGATGGCATGGTCAAACGGGTGAATGTCTTATCACCCAGTGTTTCTTTCATACTTTTTCTCGAGGGGGGGGCACTTGAAATTTTCGAAGGGGGGGGGGGGGGGTGGTGAGTTGGGGGAATAAAATTTCCCTTGGCGGCGGACACTGTTTAAAAGTATATATTTTCTACATAATTTCGGAAAGAGATGCCTGGCAGAAACTCTGGTAGCACCTAACCCTGATGGGTATCTGACTTACGTTAGGGACTGTAAAGTCGGTTAGGCAAAGTGCTGTCCACACTACGCCTTCTCATACAGAGGTCACCGGTGACTCTACTTCACCTGACGCCTGGTGAAAAAGAGACCTTTACTACCCTCAGCCTACTGATACATATAACTCGTAAAGCCATAAAACTAAATGGAAAAAAAAAAACTAGCTTATTAGCATTTTCCTCACCAGAGAAAAAAATGCAAAACATCGTCAGAACGTTTAACGCTTATCAAAATCAAATAAATTCAAAACAAATTTAAACAATTAAGGGTTGTTGTTTTATTTTTGCGTGACTTCCCACAAACATCAACATTTTTTTTTACAAAGCAACTGCGCTAATTTGTGCCATCTCGCGTGTTTCTAAACGTAATTAATAATAATAACATATTTTAACCAATCTCGGGTCTGCAGCAAGGGTGAAGGCACTCACCCCCCCCCCCCCCCCACCCACTGGCTGCAATTTTCTTAACCGTGTATTAATAGCACCAGTCATGGCGGCACTGCTGTGACCGCTTAACACAAGTCCTGGGCATTGACCCTACCGTTGGTCAGTAGCTAGCGGATAGTACAATGACCCGCAGTCGATCAAGCTTTTGGATTGTATGGTGGCGCACCAGTAGCCGCCATTTTTCTTTAAAGCTTCTAATTTAAATTTGGCGTTTGAAATAGTATGTGTGGTTAAATGAAATTTAATCTTTAAAAAATGTTACTTTTCTAACTATCACGTGTAAAAGACATTAGAATTTGACGTTGCTGTGTTTACGTTTGTGTGTCGTTTTACCTGATTATCTCCCCTAATTTGTCCCCTTATTTGATTGGTTGTTGTTTTCTCATATATTTACCATGACCTATGACCCAGCAGGCACATGATTAAAAATGACACGTTGGATGTGCAAAGCAAATCTCAACAATAGTCCCACTAATGACATTTATCCTTTAGACCTTTGTTAGGCGTAGATTTATAATATTTATTTACTGATGCTCGTTTAAAAGTGAGTCGACTATATATCACCGTGTCAGTGATGATGCGACGGAGAAGCAGACGGTGGCTTTTTAGCAATGTATGTAAATATCAAAATATATAGGGCCTAGATAATGTTGAATGAAACTTTAGTGATTTAGATTTTTTTTTTCAGTTTAGTTTTATAATTTTATATATTATACTATGGATGGTATTTACAGATTTTAGATTAGATCTAGAATCTTATTATTATAAAGTTAAGGGCGTTTAATGATTTAATATTTTCCTAAAGGTATGCCTACTTGTTTTGAGATTACAAATAATAACTCTGTTTTATTGCTATATAATTATAAAGCAATTTTTATGTTTTTGTTTTCTGCTTGTTAAAAATTATGTTTATCATAAATAGCACCCACCCACCAAAATGACCGATAACATGATTGTCATGTGACTACAGAGAACATGATTTTTCATTGGGTTTCTATTTATAGCTCATTCGAGTTGCCCGCTCCCGCTGTTTTTATTCGCCTTCTTTCTCTCGCCCTCGTCGATATCTAATTTGTATTTTGAAATATAATAACAAAAAAAAATTAACGCCACTTCGCTTTTTTTTTCCATACACAGAATACTTCGACTAGGCGGAAATATTGACCTTATGAAGCCACCACACACTTGCAGTTTGTGCTCTCGTGGCAAAGAATGTTAGAGACACTGCACTAGCAGTCGATACCATGGGGGGACGAGAGCAATCAGACACAGCCTAGTCCTAAGAGGACAGAACCGTTGCAAAGCGCACGGTTGCGTTGGAAGCGAAACAGGCGGAAGGCTTGTTCGAGTGGGCGTGGTGAGCCACAATGGACGAACGTTGCTGTGAGTAGAGTTAAGCTTTTCATTTACGTTTTTTTTTCGGCTAAAGTTATTTTGATTTGTTAGATAACTACATTACTTTTGTGTGAGAATAAACGCATTACATTTCTACAGTGTTAATCACAATGAAGTGTCTATCTTGTTACTCTTGTAGTTTAAAAATAGATCTAGACTAGAGTCTAGAGAATCTAGATCCGTAAGATCGGGTTTAACTTAAGAGGCCTATTTCTATTATTTTGTCAATAATCATAATGGCTGCCGTGCGAAATAACCATAGATTTATAATACTAGATCTAGATCTAGATCAAGCTTCTAGATATCAGATCTTGATCTAGGCAATCTAAACTCAAAGTGACAAAGTCTTATGTCTTATGGGTAGGCAGTTTGATGAAAAATTAAAAATATTTTTTTTTTTTTTAAAGTATCAGTAATAGCTAGGACAATGGTAAACTAAGTCAATTTAGCATATATAAACTTTCTGTGCAAAGTCATTATGACTGAAAAAAAATTCCAAAGTCATGGGTCCGTGTGGCATAGCTAATGAAGAAAAAACTCCTAGACCTGTGACCTGATTTCATGAGTGGATATCTGGATTATTTTTTAACATTTTTCAATGAAACTTAACAGAAGCATATTAAAATAGCTTAGAAATGAATGTAGATAGCTAAAAGTAACCAAGATTGATTAATAACTTTAAAAAAAAATATTAATGAATAAGGTTGGCAGATATTGGAAATACCAAAAATTGGCCTTATAGTTTTAATTTTAAGATGATCCATATTTATGTATTTTAATTATTTACACTGTGCACAACTGTAGATAGTTGACTATGGGAGTCTATATTTTAAAATATAGGTGTCTCCTTTTAATAAATGGGTGTTTCCTTTCTATAGAGGATAATTACACTAAATTCAGTAAATTGACCTAACATTTTTTTAGGTACAAGTGACACAACAGTGTGCATAAATATAAAAGAAACTTTATGAAATTAGATTTAAACAATTGTGAATGTCCCCTCCTCCTTTCTCATCCTGGACTGGGGACCAGGCAATGGTGGAGTTACACAACACAATAGACACAATAATCAATAACAAACAAGTATAATTTTACAATTATCAAATAGGCCTATGTATAATGTATGTACATATTTACACAAACAAGACAATACACATTTATTTAATGTACATGTCAATGAAGTTAAAAAAGTTTAAAATCAGTTATATGAACCAGCATTTCTGTACGACACAACACAGACATCAAGTTATCAGTAAATTATTCTAAAATGCAATGTTTTGTGTACATATTTACACATACAAGACAATAAAATTGTAATCAATATACATGTCAATGAAGTTGATGAACCAGCATTTCTGTACAATGCAAAACAGAGGACAAGTAACAAGTGAATTCTTAAAAAATCCAATGTTTTATGTACATATTTACACATTCAAGACAATAAAAATTGTAATTAATGTACATGTCATTTAAGTTGGAAAAGTCAAAATAAAAAAAAAATATATACATAAACCAGCAGTTTTGTGTTTTTTAAACATTAAGGTTGGCATTAATTTGTCTTCAGTGTTCAGATTCACCGTGACGTATTGCAATACCTAACATTCATTTCAGTTCAAATTTTTAAAACTCTTGATGGTTTTAGCCAGACAACTTACCTCTGACAATGTAATATGTCAGTGGTGTGTATTATATTGAATGGCAAACTGACTATGATGTTCAGAATCAACATGATGTAGTATAAAACAGATTAACATTTTACAGTCAGCTACTGTAAACTTTAGCCAGACAACTTACCTCTGACAATGTAATATGTCAGTGGTGTGTATTATATTGAATGGCAAACTGACTATGATGTTCAGAATCAACATGATGTAGTATAAAACAGATTAACATTTTGCAGTCAGCCATTGTAAACTTTAGCCAGACAACTTACCTCTGACAATGTAATATGTCAGTGGTGTGTATTATATTGAATGGCAAACTGACTATGATGTTCAGAATCAACATGATGTAGTATAAAACAGATTAACATTTTGCAGTCAGCCATTGTAAACTTTAGCCAGACAACTTACCTCTGACAATGTAATATGTCAGTGGTGTGTATTATATGGAATGGCAAACTGACTTTCATTTTTAATTGTTTAAATCAATGTTTGGTATTGCAACACAACTGTAATTTTTACAAAATCTATAAACACATAACTGTGTAAAAATAAATAAACACATGTAACAAAAAACTAGGTAAAAATGTATGTGCACCATAAGTAATAGGACATTAAATATTAAAAAATTATATTACATAAAAAAGAGAAACAACAAAGTAAAGAAGTATATACAATAGTGAGACTTTATCAGGGGTGGCCCATTATAACATGGACACATAGGCAGTTCTTGGGGACAGTCAACCTAACTAATAAACGTCATATCCCCTAGCAGTAAGTCCGTTACTACAGATTTCATTGTCAAGTCATAGTCTTCACTAGCTGTTTCTAAGTCATCGAGCCCCCAATAAGCTATCCTACACATAATACCTGCCTTCAACTGCCTAAAATCTACCATCCTACCAAAATACATTTTTTCAAACCCCACCTCTGCCCATAAATGACTAACTAAGCTGCCTACAAAGGATTCCGACAGCTGAGAGACAGGGTTGTCTGTAGCTATAGATTTAGATACTAAATCCATAACCACAGCAGAAGCAGCAGAAAAGACATCAGCCCTTAGATTTTTAGCATCAAGAGCAGATCCAACCGCAGCCTCCATTGACTTACGGTTGGATTTGTCTCTCTTCTGCTTATCATCTAAACGCCTCCGACTTATCTCCTGTTCTGTCAACTTCTTCCTCTCAACTGCCAGTTTCCTCGCCCTACTCCCCTCACCAATAGCAAACTTAACTAGCTTCTGTCTTTCCTGTCCATCAAGTCTTAAAAGCCACCCGACTGTGTCATTAACCCTCCCTCTAATCTTACCATCTATAAATCCACTAGTCGCATGGGGGGCACGTCGCAACAAGTAGTCCGTCATGCCCAAGATCCGCTCAGATGCCATGTTATGCGATGAAGCAGTTGAAGCTTGTGCCAACTGCTGGGGGGTGGGGTCAGACAGATCACCATGGGTGTATCGAGCTAACTGGCGGTTAAATATGATTGAGATCTCCTTCAAGATATTTGTGAGAGTGTTCTTTACTTCACCCCTGTGGGTTTCACCAATTTTGATGAGTGCTGACAACACCAAATCCTTGTCAGCACTAAGGAGCTCATCGAAGACATTCACAGTGGGTCTGACTAGCTCTTCTGGGTCCTTGGAAAATCTCTCCATAACATTTTCTGCCTTTTGTATCACTGGGACCATGGCCAAATTCTTGGTATCTGAGTAAAACTTAGTCATCCATGGCCCAGTTATAGATTTTCCAATAAGCCCAAGAGCAGTGAGTTGAGCTATTACCCTAGGGTCATTTAGCTGCTCACGTATAGTTACTTTTAAACTGGATGATCCTGAGTTTACAAACTCTTTTAGGGCATCCAGATGAAAAATGATGATGCCTGCTGAGTGAAACAGGACATGCATCCGGTTACCCACATACCGGACAAACTCTCCTACTACAATTCCTTTTTCTCTGCAAAAGGCCTTGAACTTGAACCCACATGGGTCCCCACTGCTTTGTTTGTACCTAAGCTTTGATATGCTTAAAATACAGTTTAATGTCTTAGGGCCCATATCAACCTCCAGCGCTCTTCTAGCACCCGTAGCTAATCCATCTAGGACATGAACATTACAGTTTAATTCCAGAAGGTGCGTGTCAAACAAAGTGCTGAGCTGAGTGACAGCACTATGATTGACAGGCGCCCTATCTGTTAGTGTGGACTTTATTGAGCATATCAGTGAGAAGTACATCTCCTCCGTATTCTCAACATTCTTAAACTTACAATAAATATTAACAGCATTTCTAAGTTCAACACTGATGTGTTCAACATAGTCCACGGCCTTGCCACCTGGTAAAGGTCTCACATCAAGAGCTAAAGTTTTTCCTGGAGCAGAAATATGGACTTCATTAATATGACTTCCGTCAATGGAAGTGGCATCCCACGACAACGTTATGCTGTCATGAGATGCCAGTGCCTCAGCAACCTGCAGGTCAGCCAAAATGCCTATTTCATAGGCCATTTGAGCCACTGTAGACTGCTGAGGCACACAGTCAATTACAAATCCAGCTTCCTGCTCCAGGAAAAACTTTAGCAGCTGACCAGCAGCACCTACAGAAACATTGTTAATTAGGGCTCTATACATACATAACCGTGTCTCTGCACTGTATGTCTTTCCCTCTTTCAATATTTTTTTTTCTGGTCTTTCTGCCTTACTCTCCTCGAGTTCAGCTAACAAATAGTCGTACATTTCATTGGTCTGTTTAACAGTTTTCTTCAACTGTGAAATAATGCTATCCTTTTCATTTAATTCCTGTTTTAAATAATTTATCATCCTGATGTATCTTCTTTTAGCCTGGTTTAAGCTTTTGATTTTTAATTTCCTTTGTTTTTCTATATTAACCACAGCTGGCTTTAAAACTTTGGAAGGTGAGGACTTGGATGGTGAGGTTTTAGAAGGGGACTTTTGTGTAGGGGACCTTTGGGGGGGGGACCATTTGGGTGGGGACTTTTTGGCTGTAGGCTTTTTGTGGGCTGTTTTTAATTGGGCATTTATCTGTTTCTGTTGTTCTAGTTGTGCAGTTAGTCTTTTTATTTTTTGATTCAAGTGTTTAATTTTATAAACTTTGTTGGTTTCTAGTTCCATTTTAAATTCCTTGACTTGCATTTTTAACTTTTTATTTGTCTTGACCAAAATAGTTGTAGACTTTCTTTTTAGAGCACACTTTGAACAATCAGTTTTTAATTTCTTAGTTCCTTCTTCAACTACAACTTCTTGCTCTGGCTGCATCACTTGAACTTCTTCTTGGACCACAACCGGTTTAGGTCTAATTTGTGGCAATTTAA